TGCGCTCCACACCGCGGGTTCATAGCTCCATCCAAAACCCAATCGTCCATCTGTTATGAGCCATTTCCCCAGGCGTATAAAATGCTTCTGTCCGTTTCCCCGCCCAGCTGTGTCACGCTCATCGTATGCTGGACGAGGATTTGCCATTATTTTGTCAATACGGGAAATCCTCAGCCGCGATTCGTGCGTGTTTTGACCAAGGGCATCGCAATTCACCATTTGCCTCGGAAGAATATCCCTCAAGTAATGATCGCATATCTCGTGCCTTCCTTCTGGTCCCCCAAGTGCCATATTGATTTTTATTTTTATATTTTCCTACTCGTCCTTGAGTTCTCGGAGTCTCTCATCGTATAGTGCCGCCTGACTCTCTCATTTGGTCAAGAGGCTTGTTTGAATATCTCTAGTAGGACAACCCTACCAGAGCCACTCTCCTCCTTCCCGTCTTCCAAAGAAAGCAAAAGCACCTAGCCCATCTCCATGCCCATCTCCTCAAGCGTTGACGATTACGGCTCGTCTTGCAAATCAATTGAGATGCTGCTTGGCGAATGCTCCCAGCCAGCCAGACCCAGGCATTACCCCTCACACCGCACGTTCCCTTCGTGTTTACTCCCTTGGGTTTAAACTTACGCTAAGCCATGACATATCGTTTACATGCCCTTTTCATTTTCCCAATTGCATTACGAGCGTCCATTACCCGCTCAGAAAAATTCATTATTGAGCAAGCCAAATTATTTATTTTTTCTCCTACCCCCACCCAAGCTTTAAGCCTCCATCCAAACCCTTGGGCAAAGCAGAATGAGGGGGGAAAAAATGGCTCATGAATGCAAGACAGAAAAAGAGACCACCACATTCCACAAGCCACCAGCAGCAGCAGCAGGAGGGAGGAACCATAAAAAAAAAAAAAAGGAGAAAAAGAATCCAGAAACAAATTAAATTAAAGAAAATACAAATTCAGCTAACCCGGCCGTAACCCGGCCGTTCCCCGCCCCGCACATACAGTACCGAAATACGTCTTCCTCATGAACGATGTGTCCGGGTTCCCCAAGACGGCCAGTGGTAAGATTCAGAAGTTCAAGCTTCGTGAACAGGCCATCTCCATGCTGCAGGGCACGCAATGAAAAATGAAAAAAAAAAAAAAAAAAAAAAAAAACCAGCAAAGAAAGGATCCATTTTGTTTTCTCCATCATTGGCTTTGGTTGCTCGATTCGGGTTCGGATTTTGCCAGATGGGTTTGTTTTAATTCTTTATTTACACAGATTTTTTTTTTTTTTTTTTTTATCATTTTATTTAAACCGTTAAAAAAAAAAAAAAAACCTTTGCTATCTACTCTACCCCAGCGTACTTCACCGTCGTCAGCTATTTTATTGGTTTCTCAATTTCTATATATATATAAACGCATATATTACATACATCCAGCAAGCACTCAAATCAGCGCACAGGCCGCTCGATGCAGTAAATGACACACGACTCCCTTTTTTCCCTCGAGTAATACAAGTCCAGCGCTGGAATGGGTGAGCGAATCGCCATCGCTATTCAAAGGGGGAGTGTAATTGGGTTCCTTGTGTGCTTCACCTCGGCCCGGAAGGGAAGGGAAGGGAAGGGAAGGGGTGGGAAAGGTAAGGAAGGGGTGGACAACATCTGGAGAAGGTCGTGGTATGAATTTTGTTCGAGGCGGAACAGAAGAATCCACCGGTTTTTTTTTTTTTTTTTTTTTTTTTTTTTTTTTTTAAACTGTGAAAATGAGGGACACCAGGGGGGCCATCACATCACATCGTTGTTGGAATGGGGGAATCGGGGAATGGAGAAAGTTGACAGCTCACTCTCGAGTCTCAACACGGCTTGTTTCCCTGGCTTGCTTCTATACATAGTTATCCATCTGGGAAGAATAGAGTGTGTGAGAGAATAGCGAGGAACTATTTTTCCCCCTCTCTCCTTACTTCACGAAAGAGCCTCCCAACAACAACAACAACAACAACAACAACTACAACAACAAAAAAACAAGCATTTTCTTGGCCAGGCAGCCAAGAAGATCGTCTTCGTTTTCCCCTTTTCCCTTTTCCCCGATGTAGCACAGGACTTGAAGTAGTTACTGTAGAATATAAAAAAAAGAAATGAAAATGAAACGAAAAGAAGAGTGGGGGAACCTCCCCCAGATAATTAATGGCATTGATTCATTCGACGAAGATTCCAAACCCAAGTCATAAAGAACCATGGTAGTGCGCCCGCAGCTTACCAGAAAGAAGTCAAGGCGAGCAAAGATCTCGTGGTATTTTTGATGTTGACTCATTCCACCACACACAGATTCCTCTGTAGTTAGTTAGGTGGCAGAACCATGTCACACGCCCAATTTGTCCAAGCACATGTTTTGGTCCTTGGATACTGGGATCAGTAACTTACAATAAAACTGATCGGTTTCTATATATGATTTGACCACGATCGAACAAGTGCGGAGAGGAATGGTTGGGGTGTCTGGTGCTGTTAATACTAGTAGTTAATGATGATAAGGTCGTCGTCTGTCCTGTTGTCTGGATTTATCTTTCCTGTTAATTTAATTTTTTTTTCTTTTCTTTTCTTTTTTTTTTTTCCCCATTGTTCCTCACCGCCACAAAGAACAGAGTACAAGCTACTCCGTACTAATCACGCGAGAAACAAAAAGTGGCTCCGGAACCTTTCTCCAAGGAGATGAAAATGGCTTGTAACGAGTCCGTGTCCGCTGTCCGTGTCCGTGCTTGCACGTCGTCGCGTTATGTGTATGTAGCACAGATGACGTTCGGTGTTGTTGTGGTTCCTAACTTGTGTATTCTGTACTGGAGGAAAATAATTACTGAACGAGGGCTGTCTCAAGCAAGACGGGGATCAATGAATGCTTAATCCTGAAACAAGCTCTCAAGCCCGGGCGCAGGGCCCCGGGGAGGGGGGGGGGGGGGTTGTAAGGAGGTGTATTTGATACTAGTTAGTTATTATTTTAACTAGTTATTGCATTCAGAATGTTATGCAACATGAGCATGTGCTAGTAACTGCTAGTACGAGTATCCAAAAGAGATGTTATGGAACTGCTGAATAGATAGCCGATTAGTTAAGAAGAAGAAGAAGAAGAAGAAGAACTAGAAGTTGATGTAAATGGAGTTAAAATCCTGGAAGGGGATGTGTACTCCGTACTTGTAGGACAATGTGTAGTTGCACGTTCATGCTTCTTTTCCTGGGCATCGCTTCAAAGTTGATGCCTCACAAGCTAAAATGCTATCAACGGGGCCAAACACTTTACCCTAGTTTTAACTATTTTCCATCGCTCGTGTGCAGGCTTGCCCCTTCCGGAACAAAGCAACGAAAAAAACCCTTCAGAAATCCCTCATACAAAAAAGAAAAAAAAGAAGAAAAAAGGAATTTTTTTTTTTTTTAGCAAACCCCCTGCGAAAAATTACCGAGTGGCTGGGCTAGTCAGGCACGTTACGTTCCAGTGAGGTATTTTTATTTGATTTATGGGGAGGAGGGGGAAATTGCCTTGGGGCATAATTTCCACCCCACACATGTGTACGGAGTATATATTTATATGTATATATATATATATTCCTCGGCAATTTTCGGTGTGGTTTTACCAATTACATGTGCTGTAACTCTCCATACATATTGAATACAGACGAAAGGTCCTGGTGTTTCTTCTACTAAATTTATTTCACTTCATTTCAATCCCACCAAAAAAAAAAAAAAAAAAAAAAAAAAAAAAAATGAAAAAAATGAAAAACGAGGGGAGAAGCCCGCTCAAATGGGGAAATTGGGCAGTGGTGGTGGGTGGTGGTGGTGGATAGGCAGGTACGTAGGTAAGTAGGTAGCTGCTAGTTAGGCGTAAATGCTCCAGGAACCGGCACGGCGAGGAGCTGGTTCGGTTCCGAATACTATCGGGCGTTCAAAGGAGGAATGAATCGATATGCTAGTTCTGGACATATATTGGCCCCCTTTTGCACAGCTACCTACCTACCTACTATTCATCCTTGTGTGGGCTACACCCCACATGGCTAAAAGATCCAGTCCAATGAGCAAGGAAGAGGGAAGAGGAGCCTTAAGTCAGAGGCTCGTCTTACAGCAAACATTGGAGACGTGTGTGTCTTTGGGAATGAGTGCGGAAATTCTTCTCGGAACTTTGAGATTTCATATATCCTGATATAGCTTAAAACTTGCAATTGCCATTGTCAATTTGCTAGCTAGCTAACTTGTCCTTGAACGAGAACCTTGGGGCAAGCTAAGGCACATGACGCGAACAACATATCACCCAACATATCACCATCCCATCCCTTAGGGATCCTGCTCCTTCAAACTCACGGGCTCAATGTATTCGCTCCGCTCTTTCAGCGCTGGCTTATACCTTCACCCAATGACTGACTGTCTAAGCCATAGCTTTGGGTGTGCATGTGTTTCGGGGCGTAAAGCTCTCAAAAACAGGGGCGCAGTTGGTGTACTGCAAATGTACAGTACATACGCGATATTGACGAAACCGCCTGTTGTTACGGCAAGAAATCATATCCGCAAGATTTGTCAAGGTGGATAGGGAAGTTGGGGAATGGACTTTGGAGTACCGACTTAAAGCAACTGGAGGGGTTTCCCTTTCCATATCATTCCTTTTCCAATAAATATATCTATCATACCAAAGAGGGCACCATCCCCAGGGCGCAAAAGACACCCCAAAGTGTAGCTAGAGCCAAGGTTGCCACGTAGCTGTGTATTTCTCCCCCCACGCCTTGTGCCCTAGCACAGGACCAAGGAGTCGAGGACTGAGGACCCCAATCATACAGAGTAATATTTCAATGGCAGGCTCCTTTGAGAAGAACTCTCGTGAGGTTGGGACCCTGAGCCAGCCAGGCAGGAGGTTGCTCGCGGGTGTATGCATGTAAACCTCTGAATGTATGCGGACATATGCGGGCGTATGCGGCGGTGGGATGGATCGTGTGGGGTCCGAGCAAACCCGATCTAACTGCCATTAACTAACAAGCGATCCAGGAATGAAGAAGAAGAAGAAGAAGACGACGAGGCGGGAAGAAAGTCCGGCGCTCCGATTTTTCAAATTTCCAGAATTGGAGCAGAGCAGCCAGGATATCCGCGGTTGTTGGTGGGGTGAGTTCCCGGTCAATCACGATCACGACGAACCGGGTTTCCCCTCCTAACCCGCAGACGTGGGTTCTTGTTGTCCTGTAGTTATTGGGTGGATCGAGAAATGTCGCTGTTCTATTCTTCTTTTTTTTTCTTTTCATTACTCCTGGGATGCATGCCGTGTCAGATTTGTTGGGGCGGTTATTTGTGTTGTTCACCAGCGACCCCAGGGATGGGGGGGGCGCCGGGGGTAACTTACTCCATTTCCACATATGAGCATATTCATTGCACATTGCTGATGAAATGCCCCAGTGGCAATGAACATTGGGGGTTGGCCTCTGTCGTGATCGCGCTTATCTTCACCCCGGATGCCGACAAGGCAAGACGGTGCATGTATGGTCGTATCGACGTAATCTATTTTAGCCGGCGGTTTTGGGGGAATTTTTGAAGGACGCCTGACATTTCGTCATGGTTCCATCCATCGCCGGGGCCCCGCGGAGAAGGGTGTGTGAGCAGCGACCGCACTCATCTTTTTAACTTGTTCCCCAGGCTTCCCTCTTTTCTTCCATCGTCATCTTCCAAACCCAGACGACGACGACGACGACGACGACGGACGACTACGAAGACGAGATGAACTCACTGCTCCACCCACATGGGCGAAGAAGGTTTGAAAACGCCGTAAAAGCGACAAAGGTTCAACCCTCAACCCTGGAGAGGCAGACAAGACCTCGTGCTGCCAGAAGCCAATGTCATTGGTATGAGCTCTGATCTCTCTCTCGGCGGAGTTCTTTTTCTTGTTCATATCGCGCTTGATGTTTATTTCTTTCTTTTTTCTTTTTCTTTTTTTTTTTTTTTTTTTTTTTTTTGTTTTTTTGTTTTTATGCAAGTCATTCTGGGGATAAATGCGGAGAAAATGGGGAAGATAGAGAGATAAGAGAGTAGAGGAAGTGGGTGGTGCTTGAAAACGCTCTCATCATCCTCCTTCCCTTCTACTTCTCTTCTTCTCCCTTGACTTCTCTCGAATGGCAAGTCGTATTGTACTTCTAATTACTATATTTTTGGTCATCTGGATTAGCGCCCATCCAAGAAAAGAATCAAGCTTCAAGTTTTGAATTTGTGCGCAAGGCGAACCCCAAGGGCGATTATCATGATTCTTGCGTATCTCGGAGTTCCCGACGGTAGTAGCAGCGATGCATCTGTCCACTGTAACTGCGGAAGAACCAGAGGGTTGCGATGTTTGCGGAGCCGCCACCGGCGCCGGGCAAAGAGAAAAAAAAAAAGAACCGAATACGAAATATTTCAATACACGGAATGTATGGTTACGGCATACATACAGCGCGATAATAAAAAGAAAAAGGAAAAAAGAAAAAAAAAGAGAAAAAAACCACGGCACGACTGTCCCGACTGGCTGGTGATCTGACCCCACCCCCAGACGCATGCCCCAAAAATAATTCACACCAAAACTGCCCATTGCTGGGGATGCAGTCAGTCGACTGTGATCAGATCAATACTCAAACAACACAAACGGACGGTACCGAGCCACCCAAGAAGGATACTGGAGATGGAAGTTGCATGCCGAAATCTCATACGCGGGTAACATTGGTTCCGATATCATCAGTACCAGAATATAAAAATATCCGCGCCCGCCGCACTCTAAACTGCCGTTCTAGAAGGCAAGA